TTTATTAGAGTCGATTGACTGCTATATTTGGTAGAATGTTTTGTTGTTGTGTTCAGGTATAACACATTAATAGGTTCTTAAATATTAAGATCCCATGAGACACAGTGTCCTGAAAAAAAAACCCAGGGGGACCTTGGGGCTTAACAGGTTAAAGTTATTTTGTCCTCATCACGACGCGGAGAATGTTTTGTTTTCCATTATGTTTTTCTTTCTCTTGGCAAAACAAGAAATGACAGCTTGGTTGGTGAGTTCAAGGCGACTTATTGCCCTCTCTGATAACATGTTAGAAATATTAAATGTCAGATTTGTTTTCACAAATGTTGTCCTTATCTGGTAAATTGTTTTAGATAAATGTTATTATTTTTTGTGACTAATTGTTTTCTAATCACTTTGTCAATTGAGCAACCGAGAACTTTGTTGCTGACTTTCAAATGACTTCACTGTAGCAGACTGGTTTCGTCACAACTTTTCAGCTTACGTTTATAGTCACACCGTAAGGTTTCTTAAAGGGGCCCTGTAGTGGCTTCCTTCCTTGTTTTTCTTTCAAGCCACTAGATGCCTTAAACAGACATTTTTAAATCGTTGTCTTCCTTTATATTACTTACAGTATGAAGAGTTACTTGGCCTCCGATGGTTTGGATGATGTTATGCGATGTGTTTGCTCAAAGTAAAATGACAAACTTTTACACATGCAACAAAGAAAAGGCCTTTTTAATATTCAAAACAAATAGGCAAAACTAAAATAAAATAACAAACAACTCGGGTATTCTTTCTTTCTGATAAGGCTTATATAATTTAAAGGGTAATTGTACAGTTAAAAACTGTGCCTCGACGGCGTCTTTCTAAAAGGTTGCTGCCCATCACTGTCAGTTTAGAGGAGGCCACGTGGGAATTGTAGTCTTTTATAGCAGGGTGTCCGCAGGGTCTTAAAAAGTATTAAAAGTCTATAAATCAATTTAGCGAAAATGAAGGCTATTCAAAAGTATTAAACGGCATTTTCCAAGGTATTCCATTTTGTAGCTTGTTTTCAATAAGTATATCAATTGTCCAAAGAGGCTGTATTCTACAGTCTGCCTGAATATAATCATTGCGTAGGTGTTTAGTGTGATTCTGTGTAGTTTATTTATGGCATCCCGTTGGATTTGACGTCATCTGAACAGGACATCGCACGCTCACTGCTTGATAGCGTGCGAAGGTCCGTTTACGTCGGTTGTTAAATAACATCGTTATGGGGAAATGCAAGTTTGCGTCCAAATGGTTGGAAGATAAGGAGGAAGGACAATCAATACTGTATATCGTCAATGTGAGGTAAAGTGTGTCGCCAATGTAACTGGTTAAAACTCCAAGTGGCGAGGTCTTCAAATGTATGGAAAGGGTCTTAAAAAAGGTCTTAAAAGGTATTAAATTTGACTTCAGGATTCCTGCATATACCGAGTGTCTTGACTACAGATATCACAATTAGGTTGCCTTTCTTATAAAACAAAAATACTGGCTCTAACAGGCCCTATTACGCCTTTTTGGTTTTGCTTTTCTGTACTTTAACATATAGGTTTTTGTGCATGTTAATGGTCTTCAAAGGCTAAAATCCCAAAAGGCCTCTTTAAATGAGTTACTTGGCTGTCCTAAAGTTCCTTCATTAATAACCAGGATATGGGACTTTTTGTTTTGTTTGTATTGATTTCTGTCACAGTGGTCAGACAGGTTTGAGGCCTCTGTGGCCCTGCTGTCTGTCTGAGAGGCAGTGATGGTCGCTGGGCTTATCTCTTCAGAACAACTGTGTGTGGCTTACCAATGATGGGAGGAAGCTGTTGTCATAGTGACAAAGAGAAAACTATTTCACCGTTAACTTTTGGTTTTGACATTCCAATTAGCTCAACTGATCTCAAGGTGCTGTTGCCTTCGCACCTGCACACTGCTCAGCTATCATGGAGCTAATATAAGTTTTATGAAGAAACTTAAAGTGATCCTACAAGGAAGCTATTGTGTGTGTGGAAATGTGTTATTACACTTGTAAGGACTGTGACTCGTTATTCTTTCATTATTAATGAATCTGTTAATTGTTTGCTTGACTAATTGATTACCCGTTTGGTTAATCAAATAAGATATTATTTGTAAATCGCAGTTAAGAGCGAATTTGGATATTCTTTATTTCTGCAGTCAATTAATTGTTTTTATATTGAAAACATTGATTTTTCCATATCTGCAAACCAAAGAGTACAAATTTTCCCAAATAAGTGACTTCCCAAGTTGCGTAGAGAGATGACTGAGTTTGTTTTTGTATGTGTTTCAGGGACAGCCGGTTGGCCAGTGTGATTTCAATATTCGACTGTTATGCATGGAAAAGGAGATAATTTCTCCCCGGATGGAAAAGATGAAGACCGGACAGATCGACAAAACCAAGGAGCCCTTCAGCGTCCGAAACAAACCCTTCTTTGACATTCATTTATCACGCAAGGTAATGTGAACAAAGAAACTCTTCACTTTCAAGCCCATTTTCCTCCTCATTTCTTTCAAATATGTAAAATCCCACATATTCCATATTTAAATGAAATATGTGAGCCATGTTCTCTTTTAAAATGTAAATTAGGCCCAATTTTAGAAGCCAAAAAGAGAGCAATTGAAAGACTTCTATGGACCAGCCTCTTGTGGAAAGCACAGTCTCCCAGAATAGGGAATCTGGCCTGAAAGCTGGACCTCCTGCTAAACCAGATATGCTGAACCCTGCATATGAAAACTGTCAGAAATCTGGCTCCTGCCATATGTTAAACCTCGATGGCGGAGTCTTTTGTTCTGCTGGAGGTGTGGACCAGGTATTTAATCTGCAAAGCTACTAGAGGGTAAAGTAGCTTGTCCATCTATTCTTTCTGTATATATTTAACTTGAAAAAGGCTTTGGAGCATTTCCCTATAGAAGACTTCTGGTCAATTAAAACAATTTTTTTTGGATAGTAACATTTATCTATAAAGCACTTTTCAGAGACATAGTCACAAAGTGTTTGACAAAGCATTAAAACATCATACGAATAAAGTCGTGCTAAAAACACAATACACAATAAAAACACATTAAACAATAAAAACACAATGCCAAGTTTGTATGTTTTTATGAATATTTGTTTATTATTTTATGTATTTTTGATGGTCTTTACATACCAAGAATGTAGTCTGTTTCTGATTTCCATGTAGCTTCTTTTACCAAAAACCCAGACACATAGAAGCTTTACTTGTGTTTTGACCGGAGGATTCAGTGTCCAAATGTCTCGTTCTTTGCAACCGAAGAGTCACCACTTTCTGCATTACCTCTGATAGCCCAGTATCCATCATGGTGCTGTTTACTTTACTGGTTATCATTGATTGGTCAAACAAAAGCCTTTAGCCCTGTCTATAATTGCCAATGATTGCCTCTTCCTACGTCTTTGTCTCCATCCGTTTGAATTACCCAGGAGGTATAGGTGTGAAAAGGTGGCAGTGGAATATAGCAATACAAGTATGGGAACATTGTATAGACTTTGTTGCAGTACCCAGTAATGGCAAGTATTGTTGCCATTTGCCCTATAATACTAACATTATGTGTAAAATAAATGTTGTGTCTTTTCACCTATTATGCAAAACCCACTTTTTCATGTCTTTTATACATCAACATGTGTCCCCTCAGTGTAAAGAGATTCTGAAAGTCTCAGGAAAAGAGATTTACTCACTTTTTGTCCTGATCCATTTATATAAAAACCTGTCTGAAAATGAGCTGATCAGATTTTGGCCACTTTATGATGTCATAAGGATTTTTTTGCTTGTGTAACCATTAGCCAATCACCAACCAAGGTATATGTATATATATATATATACATACAGATATATTGATGAAAAACAGAGACCTTTAAAGCAGTAACTTTTTTGGACTAATTCAGTTCAGATCACATTTTTGGGATTTTCCTTGTTATTATTATTAAAAACTTTTTCACGGCTCAGGTTGTAGTGCTCTGCTGCTCACAGGATAAGGACATCAGAGCTTTTATCCCTTGAATATCTGTTAAGCCTCTCCTCAAAGGCTTGCACTTGTGCCCTAATATCAGACCTGTAGGGGGTCAGAGCATGATTAATTTGATGTTTTGTTCGGGCCAAGATCAGTCAGAAATCTTGGCACTGCGTAATCGCAGATGATCAAAGT